AACAAACAGTGTACCCCTGCAGACCCTTCTCCCCAACCAAACCATCACAGGCCAGACCATCTATGGCGGCCAGGGCACGGGTTTGTTTCCTGCTCAAAGGTCTGTCCATATAGAGAATCCTAAAGTAGTCAATGTAAATTTTGGCCCACATGTGATTGGTTCTGATGGAAGTGGACAGCAAGCCATTATTCAGGTATGTGAATTTCTGTATTTTCTGTCCTTCATAAAGAAGTTTGTTGTGTCCTTTACTAGACATTGCAAAACCAACCCCAGACATTTGAAAGGGGGGGGGGGGTATTTGTGATTTTACTAGGTACTTTTTATAAGCACATTCGGGGGGCTGCGTGGTTTCGAGGCATGGTGTCCGCCACAAGTGCTAGAGGTTCCAGGTTCAATCCTCGGTAAGGGCTGTTTTTTTTTCCTCTAGTAATTCCCCCTGGTCTCTGGGTAGTGAGATCCACGTCAGTGTGCATTGTTACGCACGTAAAAAAATCCCTTGTGCTGAGCTTCTGCGGACTCGGGCTTGAGTTAGAAGAAAGAACGGAGCACGTATGGGTTACTACCTGTGTGCCATGATGTTGATCCGCTGTTGAAAACCTCCAACCATATGAGCACATTTGCAATGCCTAAGCCACAGACACCGTCTGTTTCCCTGTAAATGCTAAATGGGGGTTTAAAACTCCTGTATAGTATTTAGTTTTAAAATGCTTTAGATAAAGATATTAATGTTAAAACTGCATTGAGGATAGATCTAAAACAAAAATTAAAACATCACCCTCTCACTAGACGCCAGAATACCAGATCTCTAGCAGAAAGTTCTGGTTGCTCATCCAATTCTGGACTTTAATCTTGTTCCGAAGCCTGGGGTTTTGCATGCACATCCATTTTGACAGATCTGGCATATTTGTATACAGACTGTTGGTTCCTCGCCTCAGGCTGATGCACTCCTACTTTGAAGAAAATACCCATAATCAGTCTACTCTTACAACAAACTTGTTAGGGGGTCTTTTCTGTAACACCCCAACCTTCCCCCCCTTTTTTTTCCACCCAGTAATGTGGCCCTCGAACCCACATGCAAAATAAATCAGTTTAGTAGCATGTTAGTGAAATGATAACAAAGTAGAAATCCCTTTTCGCACCTTTAGGCTTGGTATATGAAAAGAGCACCCATGTTTTTACAGACCATCAGCACTAGGTGGGTAGGGTAATGTGGTCAGCATTATGCCTGACATCTTTACTTCCCCAGGACAGCCCATCCTGGTACCCATTTTAGGCTGGATCGACCTACGATGCCCCATACCATGAAACAAATTAGAGACAAGATGCTAGACTCATATTGTATAGACCAGTCTGCATTGAATGGGGGATGTATAGACCAGTCTGCATTGACTGGGGGATGTATAGACCAGTCTGCATTGACTGGGGGATGTATAGACCAGTCTGCATTGACTGGGGGATGTATAGACCAGTCTGCATTGAATAGGGGATGTATAGACCAGTCTGCATTGACTGGGGGATGTATAGACCAGTCTGCATTGACTGGGGGATGTATAGACCAGTCTGCATTGAATGGGAGATGTATAGACCAGTCTGCATTGAATGGGGGATGTATAGACCAGTCTGCATTGAATGGGGGATGTATAGACCAGTCTGCATTGAATGGGGTATGTGGTCACAATCACACTGGTCATCTTTTCTTCCCAGGACATTACCTGGTACACATTTTAGGTGAGGGTAAGCCTGGGAGCAAGTGTCATAAAAAAAAAAAGAATTCCAACTGAGTGCAGATTCAAACTCAAGATGTTCAGGCTGGCTGGCGAGCATTAGTGGAGACTGATAGACTCTTTTGCTGATCATTGGTGAACTGTGTGTATTAAAAATTAAAATGCTTCCATACCCGTTGTTTTATTATAGTCATATTGTATTTTCTGTCTTGTGCAGACAGCTGAAGGCAAAAGTGTACTGATCACAAACTCACAACTACAGCATCTACCCCAGGTAAGTAGTTCTTATGTTCAATGATATTAACTCTGTCTGGGTTCTGGAGCCTTGGGAGGGGGGGGGGGGGGGTGTAGACCCATTGCTCTCCTAACTAGCATTTTGTAAAAGGCAACTTATTAATGTGCTTCCTTTGCTTCGAGTTGAGGAACCAACAGTCTGCACACAAATAAGCCACATCTGTACAATGTTTTGGAGCATGACTAGTGTCCAGAAGTGGATGAAGAACAGGACATTTCTGCCAGAGTGTACAGCTGGTGAACGCAAAGAAGAAGCTTTACTTTCTGCCAGAGTGTGCAGCTGGTGAACTCAAAGAAGAAGCTTTACTTTCTGCCAGAGTGTGCAGCTGGTGAACACAAAGAAGAAGCTTCACTTTCTGCCAGAGTGTGCAGCTGGTGAACGCAAAGAAGAAGCTTTACTTTCTGCCAGAGTGTGCAGCTGGTGAACTCAAAGAAGAAGCTTTACTTTCTGCCAGAGTGTGCAGCTGGTGAACTCAAAGAAGAAGCTTCACTTTCTGCCAGAGTGTGCAGCTGGTGAACACAAAGAAGCTTCACTGTCTGAATGTTTCTTATTTGATGTGTGAAACATGCAGATGGACATGTACGTTCTTAATTAAACTTTCCTGAATGTAATATTTTGAGCGACATCATCAGGAGCAACCCAACAGAAATGCACACCAACTTGTACAGTGCATTGGGAAAAGCGCACAAACAGTTCTGACATCTCCCCCAAACACCTCCCTGGGGTAAATGATGGAAGAGAAGAAGATGATTTTGTGCTGACTTATTCTAAATGGAAGTTGTGTAAGTTAACCATCAGATGGTTCTAAATTCTACAGCAACTAAAGCATTAAAAACCACCTGTTTTCTCATCATTTCTGTAAATAGATACTTCAGTAAGTTAACCATCAGATGGTTTTTAGTTTGACATCACCTCAAACTTCAAGGATCACTCACTCTCTGGTCACTTCTATTTTGATGTGTGAGAAATGCAGATTGATGTTTACATTCTTATATAAACATTCCTATATGTATTATTTTGTGCTGTCTTTTTCTAAATGGAAGTTCTGCAAGACAGTATGACTGTCTAAAAAATATATCCCAGTGACCAGCTGAATGTCACATAATGTGTGATGATACAGATGTTTAAATAGGAGCTGCTGTTAATACAGTGACTAGATGCTTGCCTACTAGCCTAACAGTCTTGGGTTTGAGACCTCACTGAGGTGGATTTTAAACAATTGACGTTGGCTCCTAGGTTGATCCCGCCAAGGATGTTTTCCAGGAAGATATCCCGGGAAGTAAAGGTAGCCAAAAGGTTGACCACATCAACCATGGAGTGCCAACAGGTGTATAAAAATGTGGTCCTTCACCATATACTCAGTGTGCCACTGATGTGAAATGTCTCCTTTATTTTGTTTCTTGCTGTTAGTTGCATATGATTGGCTCACTAGTGGGAAAATGTTAAATGTCTCCACTTATATACAATGGCCAACACTTATTTGATGGCTAGTAACAGTCAGTTTCCTTGGCTTCCAAGTCACCCTAGCCCAGAAGGGGTACCAGGAAATGTCCAGGGAAGTAAATGTGATTGGTCTAATGTTGACCACTCCCGGCCACCCTAGCCCAGAATGGGTACCAGGAAATGTCCAGGGAAGTAAATGTGATTGGTCTAATGTTGACCACATCATCCATGGACTGGTTTGTTAAAATATGAGTCCAGCTTTATATGCCTGATGTACCAAAGACGGAAGAAGGTCCTTTACTTTTACTTAACGCTGTTGCTACACAAGTGATGGTTTTGCATTAAAAAAATATTGGGTGGTCAATGTGATGCCGGTATAACAGCTTAACATACTATTTGCAACGGTGTAGTGTTTAGTTGGCTATGTGTAGTGTTTAGTTGGCTATGTGTAGTGTTTAGTTGGCCATGTGTAGTGTTGAGTTGGCCATGTGTAGTGTTTAGTTGGCCATGTGTAGTGTTGAGTTGGCCATGTGTAGTGTTTAGTTGGCCATGTGTAGTGTTGAGTTGGCCATGTGTAGTGTTTAGTTGGCCATGTGTAGTGTTGAGTTGGCCATGTGTAGTGTTTAGTTGGCCATGTGTAGTGTTTAGTTGGCCATGTGTAGTGTTTAGTTGGCCATGTGTAGTGTTTAGTTGGCCATGTGTAGTGTTTAGTTGGCCATTGTAGTGTTTAGTTGGCCATTGTAGTGTTTAGTTGGCTATGTGTAGTGTTTAGTTGGCTATGTGTAGTGTTTAGTTGGCCATGTGTAGTGTTTAGTTGGCCATGTGTAGTGTTGAGTTGGCCATTGTAGTGTTGAGTTGGCTATGTGTAGTGTTGAGTTGGCTATGTGTAGTGTTTAGTTGGCCATGTGTAGTGTTTAGTTGGCCATGTGTAGTGTTTAGTTGGCCATGTGTAGTGTTGAGTTGGCCATGTGTAGTGTTTAGTTGGCCATGTGTAGTGTTGAGTTGGCCATGTGTAGTGTTTAGTTGGCCATGTGTAGTGTTTAGTTGGCCATGTGTAGTGTTTAGTTGGCCATGTGTAGTGTTTAGTTGGCCATGTGTAGTGTTTAGTTGGCCATGTGTAGTGTTTAGTTGGCCATGTGTAGTGTTTAGTTGGCCATTGTAGTGTTTAGTTGGCTATGTATACTGGTTATATGGACCATGTATGATTATAAATATTATGAAATTAGGAATTAAAGGATATTTTTTGGGGCCGTTTTGGTGAAACAAACAAAACATGCATTTTTTAGGCATTGTAACGTCATAGTAAGCCATTTTGTGCCACTAGGCTGTCAGCAAAACACAATTTGTTGACGGTGGAAAAGAATACAGTTTATTCCCTCCTCCATTTGTGTTCATTGATTACTCTACCAGTAGAGAAAAATGTCTTTATAATTTTTGTCTTTTAACTGTTACAAGTTTTGTGAAATGGCCATTTTTATGGGGCCACAGGGTTAAAAGTCTGTTTTCTGTCTCAGTCTATCAGTCTGACTCAACCATTGATGGGTGCACAGCTGTTCAGCTCAGCTGGGGGAAACCTGATCAGGACCAGTATAAGTCCAGCTACCCACACCATTATGCCAGCAGCTGGTACCGGCACACAGCAGATTGTTCTGCCATCTGGTCAGACGGTCATCCATCGACAGACCAGCACCACACAGGGTGGCATCACAAAGAATGTAGTGCTCAGGCCACTGAACCCCACTATGTCACCGGTTATTGTAAGTAGTCTCTTTTACTATGTTATCTCTTGTTAAAGCATCATTTCCCCATTGTAAATTTGAACAGAGAAGACACAGACAACAGACTGAACAATTTAATGCCATTCATATTTCACTGTATCTTTTCAGGTACCTACTAAAGTCATCTACATATAACAGTGCATATTTATTGTCCATCTCTCTCCAGTTGGAACTTCCTGTTGGGGTTTCTATACTCTAAGTGTGAGACCATGATGACCTTTCTTATCATCATCATCATTATCCTGTTGTGCCATTATATTTCACATAGGGTTTACAGTCTAGTCCTCTATTCCATTCAGTCTTGTGCAGTCCTTTCAGTGTCATCAGTGGAGTGCTTTCAGTGTCATCAGCGGAGTGCTTTCAGTGTCATCAGTGGAGTCCTTTCAGTGTCATCAGTGGAGTCCTTTCAGTGTCATCAGTGGAGTGCTTTCAGTGTCATCAGTGGAGTCCTTTCAGTGTCATCAGTGGAGTGCTTTCAGTGTCATCAGTGGAGTCCTTTCAGTGTCATCAGTGGAGTCCTTTCAGTGTCATCAGTGGAGTCCATGCCTTGTATCTCTCTCATCTGGGTACAGATATAACATCACAGTTTTCAAGACAAGCCGATGTTAGATTGGTCTCCCTCCTCAACAACCAGCATAGTGACTCCATCTGGTTAACTTCTAATTTTGCCTTTCCCTTGAATGGTGTCCAGAGCCCACACACACTTCTCGCTATGTCTTCCTCTTCATGTACGGGTTTTCTGACTCTCAACATTTGTCTTAGTGTGTATCTTGGATATTTAGTTAGTTAGTCTTTTGTCTTGAGCCTAAGGCAGCACATAGGGCAGAGGTCATAGCTCTCCGTGTCTGACGGTTCCTTGCCATCTGGTGAAGGTTTTTGATGTTTGTGAGGCCCATGGTCTCTCTTGGTCTTGCCTGTTTTCTTTTCCCTTCCGGTGTCCATATGAAGGCTTGATGGGGAAGTCTTGTCCTATCCCTTCTGAGTGCATACCTGATATGGCTCCAGTAGATCTGTGATAAAAAAATTGGATAGATTGCCTAGCTTGGTCTCTTGTCTTAGTTGCATACTGGATCTAAAATCTGTCCAGGGAAGATTCAGTATTCTTCTAAGACATTTGTTCTCAAATTGTCTAATTTTGTGTCTAGAGCTACCATTGCTTTCCCACTCCTGCATCCATAAATTGGACATTCTTGATTCCTTAATCTGTCTGTTTCACATTTCATTGCGTATTTAGTGATTCTTAGTCCGCTTTTCCTTATGACATGCTCATGTATTTTTTTTCTCCTACTCTGAGCTAATTATAGAGTATTCAGACTGGAATTTGTATCTCACTTCCAATAGACACATGTTTCTGATACATCATAACCCTTCTGCTACACATTGTTTACTAACCTCATTAACTACCAGTTGTATTTTAATGCTGTGGTTGATTGATTAACATATTCAGCTAGAGGTATATGTAAAACTGCATGCACAAAAGAGTTCAATGGGAGTAGACAGAGAGGCAAACTATGAAGAGATAAAATACTGGCAAACCTACAGAATCTTAGAATCACCAACTAGAAAGAGATATTCAATCACAGAGATGAATGGAGGTGGTTGATATCTGCAGAATGAACCTCAAGGAATGCTGAAGAAAAAGATTAAAAAGAGATTATGTAAATGTCCCCACATATTTTATCTTGTTAAATTTAAGAAACAAAACATCGATGAGTTAAAGTTGTATTTGTAATTATTGTCCCAACTGCATAAAGTGTGGAGCTGTTAGCAACAAAGTTCATATTTGTGACATTGAAATAAAACATTACAGATTAATTTTTTTGTTATGTAGTGCAGTCACAGCTGATAAATTCTGTCTAACTTTCAGTGAATTGTTGATTTTTTAAAATAATTTCAGTACCAGAGTGGGCAGACTGGGTCGCTGATTCATTCGCAGCCAACCCTTATAACTTCATCAGGTGGAGGGCTACAGGTGGTTAACACAGGAAGGAACCAGGGTGGTCAGGTACAACTGATCACCCATCCGAACATCGGCCAAACTGGCATAGGGCACCAACAGGTAAACTTTTATACTTTCAGTTCTGCTTGTTCTTTTGAGAAAGTCTTATGAAATACTCTTCTGTAATATTGTCACAAGTGGTATTCCACTGCCCCACTTAATAATCAGCCATAATTCCAGTGTTTATTTAATATACTAATTTGCATTATCAGAATTAATTGTTCATTTTCATACCAGCGGCCCAACATTTCAATATCTCAATAAAAATAAATGTCGTTCTCTATAACTTTTTTCCTGTTTCTCCCCCATTCCCGTCTGATGTTCACTTTGATATTCAATATTTTTTCTGCCCCCCCCCCCCCACCCCTTTTTTTTTTCTTCTTTTTTCTTTTTTAAATTATTCATGCTTGTGATTTCTCTAAATTTGTCTGAATACAGTCGAGTCTGGATAAGTAGAAGTCGCAGGGATCTAAGAAAATGCTTCCACTTATCAGGACTTCTACTAATCCAGACAGCACAGAGAATAGAGACAGTTGCCGGGACTGAGCTGGTCATGTTGACTTAACCGAAATTTGACTTATCCGAGTTCGACTTAAGTGGACTCAACTGTATTTAAAAGGAAGCACTGAGAATATAGTAGACAGTTTCCTATACATTCATCCCTGTTCTGCATATTCATTATCATCAGATTGTTGTTTATACATGACACTGGGGTCACAGTCTGTTCCTCAGTTCCATTTCATCCTGTGCAATATTTTCGACATCATGGGCGGAATTCTGTCCCTCACCTTTGACCTCTCTTCATAGTGTTTGTCTGAGGGTTTCTCTTGGGTGCTCCCGTTTCTCAATACATTTGTTTCCCATTCCCAGTTTGCTTCTGCCCAGTATGTGCCCAGTATATCACCAAATGACAGTCTGCACAATGTTGACCATTACAATAGAAACTGAACTTGTCCACTAGCACATGTTAGCTGTTAAAACATTGTCCTGGGAATGGTTTGTCTTGCTGGCTATCATTTTTTTTTTTTTAGGTATCCAGAAACCATGAGTTGTAAACCCTTTGGCTCGGTACTATGGATATCGCAACCCTTCGGCCTTGATTCCATTATAGGTACCATTAATCTGGGAGAAATGTGGCTTTTCTGCCTACCCCCGGGAATGAACCCGGACCACAAGGAGTTCGTCACCCGGCCGCCGCGAAAATCAGGTTTAACCAACTTCGCTAGAGAGCCGGGCACTGGCTATCATTCAGAGCAGCATTTTAACAACAAGAAAGACCGAAAGATTTTGTGTAGAACTCCTTGAAGTTACAAACATTATACCTGATAAGAAGAACAGAAGAATATGACTTTTGTTTAATTTAATTTACTCAAATTTGTTGATAGGTTTTTTTTCTCCGTTTTTTTTCTCCATTTTTTTTTAAATCAGAGGATGTTGTTTCTCCAGGCATGCTCTGTTTTGAACCTAACTTATACATTCTGTAAAACTGTGTCCTAATCAGATCTTTATTTGTGTGTGTGTGTCTCTCTCTGGGAGGTCAGGATATGAATCTATGGTACTTTCATAATATCCTACCACAAACAGGGGAAATTTACAAGTCACAGGACAGTCTCATATTTCAGAGGGTGGTAGATAAAGCATTTAGTGTAGTAATTTGGAATTTCATTTGCCATGCAGTTTTCACTTTTTTGTGCTTCTGTTTTGTGTTCTGTGCAGTGTTTTGTTATGCAATCTTTTTTTTTCTGGGGATGTGGATGCTGTTTTGCAGTTTATTTTTGTGAAACTTTATGTGCAATCAGTGGGATAAATTGCCAATTGGAGTACTTTGGGGGTCAATCATTCTAGATGTATACTGCTGGGTTCATGAATTGACTATCTGAACAATTTTACATGTTAGCAGATCTGCAGAAAGGTCGGAATGCGGCAACTGTTGCAGCGGCAGCAGCAAAGATGGCAGACTATTGTTCTGGTGGCCAGAGGGTTAAGGTTACCAGTGTACACATGCCATAGGTTGGAGACTACTGTCGTGCCAAATCTGATGTTTGTGCTAATAATCGGGAGAACCGTTTCTGCTTTTCTGTCTGGAACGCAGACGTAAAGCACTCGCTTGTTTTGCGACAGACGCCACCAAATACCCACTGTTGTGGAAACGCTCATCCCACATAATTGGTAAACAGACTTCCATCAATTTCAACAGTGGTGTTCTCTCCGCTGATCACTGCAGGATTCAATAATAATGTATAGGCACAAACCTCCCATAAGTAGTTGCTCCACTCCACAGTTGTATTCTTCGACATACCCAGCTCTACTTGGCAAAATCCAATGCTTGTCAACTCGTGAGACCAGTAGTACAGAAACAGACTGATCAGTCTGTAAGGCAGGCACGACCCTTCCAGCCATGTTCCTTGCCTTAAAGGTATGTTCAGACGACAGGTCGACTTTCCACACCGCCATTGGTCGTAGCTTTCGGTCAGCACTAACATCATTGCATGATTGTTGCCACAACGTCTGGTACTGTGCAGAATGCCACGATGTTGCAGAAAAGCATCACTGCTCTTCTTTTTCGGCACCGAGGCTGGAAATTCATGGCGATGAAGACTGAACACAAGCCACTGGAGAGACGCAGCCAGAAGAAGAAACACGCGAAAACCTTGGCAATGCCTTGGTAGACACACAGAAAGCGGGGAAACAAAAAACACAGAAGCCGGTTTGGGAAACCCAGTCTTACCACCCTAGAAAATATTGGACTCTTGTGAACCAAATTGCTTTTGTAATGACATTTTGATATCATAATTTTCTCATTGTCTTGGTGTTAAGAGGTCACAAGGTCACAGCATGAGTCACTCAAAACATATTATTTTAGGCCCTAAGGAATGTATTCCATTTAGTGCTTTACTTTATTTATGCTTATTGATTACTTCTTTCATATATGTTTCAAATTTTGTTTTTCAAATATAGGTAAAACATTTTTTTTTTAAATTTATTAGTGACCTGAGTCAATTTTTGTCCTATTTGAACAAATTTTTTATTTTTTTTTGGTTGGGTGGGGGGGGGGGGGGGGGGGGGGGGGGGGGGGTGGGATTCCTGTTGAACCTTGACTATTTAAAGAGTTTTTGGGGGCGACAGGCTAAAGCTGCATACTTTAAAAGTTACATTTTTTATTCTGGTGTCCTTGTTACAGAAAATTGTATGTGAGAACCACACAGTTTTGTAATTCTTAATGAAATTGAGCCCTATGTGAATTATTACAAGCGAATCACATGTTTTCAGTTATTTTTATATGTAGGTTATCATGGTCAACCTCTACTTGGTTATAAAGATATGTGCAAGTGGGGCATGAGCTATATAAGTATTGAGGTCGATTCATGTGATCAGAACGCCATTGAGCATTTTGCATAAAGGAGGAGACTCAGGAAGGGAATAGTGATCAGGAGAAACTGACTGCAGACAGGTTTGGAGATGAATATTGGAGGCCAAATAATGCATGCTGGGACAATATTGGTACTGAAATTCCATGCTGTTATTGTGGAAGACTTATTTTATTTTTATCATGAGTGGGTCTTGCTAGTCATACTTGCCATCACCGTAGATTGTGTTTCTGATGGCTCCAGGGGAGCACAGTTTAACATTGTCGCCTGGAATGTTAGAAAAAGTATCCAACATTCTAACATGAACCATTTGATACAGACACTGAGGTATTTGCTTGTAAATGCTTAAATTTTGTTCTGTAAATCAAAGCATCCTATATCTTTTTTTTTTCCAGCTGATGAATCTGCTCAGTAGTCATGGTATCATATCTAACACAGGAAACCAAATAGCTGGACTCGTGCCTGGTCAGAACATTGTGATCAATGGTCAAGTACTTAACATCAGCCAGCTTGGTGGTTTGAGTGTCCCTCAACTACAGGTACAACACAACCCACAGAGCGGGGTCACTCTTGCTGCACATTTTCAACCAACTGCCCAGCAGGTCATCATTCAGCATAACAGTCAGCAGCAGCAGCAGCAACAACACAGCCTGCAACAACCAAAGAGCACACAGTCACCTTCAGGTGTAGCCAACATTGTCCCATCTCAAAGATCAAGTTCTGGTTTGATGGGGAGCAAAAATGTGCTGACCCCAACCTCAAACATAAACTCATGCTCATCAACTCCAACTCCATCCACTCCTACGCCGACACGGACACCTGACATCATGTCAGATGCCTGTGACATGGGAGGTAAAACTAGCCAGAGTATCAATATTTTGGAGCAGGCATTGGCCCTATCTGCTATAGACCTACAGTCTCTGGGTGACGACATCAACTTTTTGGATAATATGGACTGCTTCCCATCTGTTCCCACCCCGCCAGCTTCTGTCACTCCGCTGCCACCTGTTTCAAAACCCAAGCCATCTACAACCAAGGCTAAATCAAAAACCACAAAAACTAAGCCAAAAATTATTCAACCAGTTGTGAATGTAACTGTAAATAGTGTGCAGTTGCAGCAGCCAACCACTCAGTTTCAGAATGCACTAGGTCAGAAGGTCACTATTAACCCACAGCAGAAAATTATAACCGCAGACGGGCAGGTCTTTGTTCTTTCTGCGAATGGCCAACAGTTTATTCTTCAACCTTCCCCTAGTTCTGCTGCAGTAGCAGTTTCAACAGTAAAGTCAGAAGCAGCTGTTACCTCAACAAAAGGCAGTGTTAGCACTGCAGGCATCAGTATTTCACTTGCTTCCCAGCTGCAAATGAAAGACCTTAACCAAAGATCAAATCTTGACAGACAGTTTAAACTGAGTCCCAGCGGCACACCTATGTCATTAAAACAGAGGCATATGCCAATAACATCAGTTGCTCAGCCAGACAGGATTTTTATCAAGGCTAGCACAGACAGTACTGGGCAGTTGAAAACTGAGTCAGGTGGGCAGTTAGTAGCTGCTGCTCTGGTCCCATACACCACAGTGACCACTGTTCATAATTCTCCATCCCTGGTTCCACAATTTCAGGCTTCAGCAAATTTTAATGGCATGCATAGCTTTCAGCTAACAAATCAAAAGATAACTACGCTCAGTGGCACATTTCTCAAACAAGAGCCAGTAGAACAGGTCAAGGAAGAGCCTGTTACTGAACTGGAACATTGTGTCTCACAGGCTCCAGATGCAGAAAGTTTGTCACTGCCAGGGATGAATCTCTTCCGCACATCGTTAGCCACAACTACCACAACTATAATTGCCATATCCACACCTCTAGTGATTTCATCTGCGTCATTCACAGCCATGACCACCACACAGTCACATCAAACCACCATCATGAGCACAGCACAGATGAAGGCTTCTCGGCAGACATCCGTCTCTTCCGCCAGCTCTCATCTGTCATGTTCTTCAGTCATAGATGACTGCTCTTTGTCACAGTCAGAGTCACCCACTTTCCTGCAGAGTGCCACCTCTACTGCTGCACTAGCCTCCTCAGCGCCTACAGCAACTTTGAAATCTGTAAGTATTAAAGACAGTTTACTTTTTCTTTTTCCGTCCACAGAAGCATTCTTTATTTATATATTTTTCTTCTGCGTGGTCGGCACATTGTGATTTATAGCTATACTGTGATATGTGCACCTTTTGGCCCAACATATCAGCTTTCCGCAAAGTCTAAATTAGTTATGTGAAGTGGCAATGGATTCCCACCACCCTCCCCACAAATGGGGCAGCAGAACCCACATGGATTATTTGAATATATTGTCTTTTATGCCATTGGGTTTTATCCATAGGACTCAGTCTCTCAACTACAGAGTAGCCTTTTGTCTCCCAAGAGTATCACACAGAGCACAAAACTCTATAGCTGCAACATTCACTTGTAGTGATTTCTGAAACACCTAACCATTGAATCTAAGAATAGAGTTTAAAGCTTGATCCCTGACATTCATTGTGCAAGATTGAAAGCTCAACTACTTACTTGTAGCTTTTGTTATAAAGATGACAACAGTTAAAGAAAAAAGTAATTTAAAAAAAAGCAGAAATATTTTGAAGATAGGCTTCTTTGTCAGACTCCATCCTTCATCTTGTGTCTGCAGATGCTCTAGAGATCTTTGGGATCAATCAATCATTCAATCCATTGGTACCCTCAAGGATGCTAGCTAAAGGTATACCCAACCATCCGAACCATAGTCTGGACAGCAGATCAGCAAAGCAAATCCTAGATGCCTCGTCTATCTCCCAGAGAAGTTAAAATTAGGGCGCCCATAACAGCTACACAAGCCAGGTGTTACCTGCAGGCCTGTGTGGGTAAAGACCTATCTGATCCTTGAGGGTTATCACTAGACCTATATAAGTGTGTGCTTTGTGTAGCGTTCTCGGTGGGCCAGGAGTTGTCTGCATAGAAAGGCTGAGCCATATAGGATAATACCTGGTGAGATGAAGTCAGTGTTCCCACCTTTAAACACCACTTTTAAATGTGAAAGTTTGAGAGAGAAATGCAGGAAATATATATATATACAGAGATGGAAAACGATTGTTTATATTGCCATAACATTGATCATGTGTACTGTAATATTGACAGAGGTAACAGCATGTTCTAATCATTTCCTCAGAATCCTAAAGAAAGAGATCCAGCAAACATCAAATCTATGATCCCTATCAAGGTAGTAGCTTTGAAAATAATATCTTAGGTTTAAGGTTGAAGTTATTATGCCACACTATCTCATTTTGCTAACTTCACATTAATCACTGGAAGCTACCTCATGATGGCTGTCAGTCATGGACTTCACATACTTCAAACTGTGGTTGTGGCATTTTATAGATGGTGAAATAACTAGCTCCCCTCCTTGGTTGCTTCCCTTGCAAGAGAAATTACAGAAATTGATTTTACATTGTCTAGGTCAACTCTGTAGCCGAACATGGCCCAGTTAGATGGAATTATAATCAGATGGTTGGTTACACTGATAGACTGTTGTATCATCCATCATACTACCATGGCACAGGTTGTACCGGATAGGTTTTCCTTAGAAAATCATGTTATGGTAGTTGACGTCAAAGTGCCTTGGCTACTGGTGGATACTTCCTCAGACCAGTACTGTGGTCACAGTTACTTACAGTGCCTTGGATGCTGATGGATACTTCCTCAGACCAGTACTGTGGTCATAGTTACTTACAGTGCCTTGGCTACGGGTGGATACTTCCTCAGACCAGTACTGTGGTCACAGTTATAGTGCCTTGGATGCTGTTGGATACTTCCTCAGACCAGTACTGTGGTCACAGTTACTTACAGTGCCTTGGCTACGGGTGGATACTTCCTCAGACCAGTACTGTGGTCACAGTTACTTACAGTGCCTTGGATGCTGATGGATGCTTCCTCAGACCAGTACTGTGGTCACAGTTACTTATAGTGCCTTGGCTACTGGTGGATACTGCCTCACACCAGTACTGTGGTCACAGTTACTTACAGTGCCTTGGCTACGGGTGGATACTTCCTCAGACCAGTACTGTTGTCACAGTTATAGTGCCTTGGATGCTGATGGATACTTCCTCAGACCAGTACTGTGGTCACAGTTACTTATAGTGCCTTGGCTACTGGTGGATACTGCCTCAGACCAGTACTGTGGTCACAGTTACTTACAGTGCCTTGGCTACGGGTGGATACTTCCTCAGACCAGTACTGTGGTCACAGTTACTTACAGTGCCTTGGATGCTGATGGATACTTCCTCAGACCAGTACTGTGGTCACAGTTACTTATAGTGCCTTGGATGCTGATGGATACTTCCTCAGACCAGTACTGTGGTCACAGTTACTTACAGTGCCTTGGATGCTGATGGATACTTCCTCAGACCAGTACTGTGGTCATAGTTACTTACAGTGCCTTGGATGCTGATGGATACTTCCTCAGACCAGTACTGTGGTCACAGTTATAGTGCCTTGGCTACTGGTGGATACTTCCTCAGGCCAGTACTGTGGTCATAGTTACTTACAGTGCCTTGGCTACGGGTGGATACTTCCTCAGGCCAGTACTGTGGTCACAGTTACTTACAGTGCCTTGGATGCTGATGGATACTTCCTCAGACCAATACTGTGGTCATAGTTACTTACAGTGCCTTGGATGCTGATGGATACTTCCTCAGGCCAGTACTGTGGTCATAGTTACTTACAGTGCCTTTGATGCTGATGGATACTTCCTCAGACCAGTACTGTGGTCACAGTTATAGTGCCTTGGATGCTGATGGATACTTCCTCAGACCAGTACTGTGGTCACAGTTACTTACAGTGCCTTGGATGCTGATGGATACTTCCTCAGACCAGTACTGTGGTCATAGTTACTTACAGTGCCTTGGCTACTGGTGGATACTTCCTCAGACCAGTACTGTGGTCACAGTTATAGTGCCTTGGATGCTGATGGATACTTCCTCAGACCAGTACTGTGGTCACAGTTACTTACAGTGCCTTGGATGCTGATGGATACTTCCTCAGACCAGTACTGTGGTCATAGTTACTTACAGTGCCTTGGCTACGGGTGGATACTTCCTCAGACCAGTACTGTGGTCACAGTTATAGTGCCTTGGATGCTGATGGATACTTTCTCAGACCAGTACTGTGGTCACAGTTACTTACAGTGCCTTGGCTACTGGCGGATACTTCCTCAGGCCAGTACTGTGGTCATAGTTACTTACAGTGCCTTGGCTACGGGTGGATACTTCCTCAGACCAGTACTGTGGTCACAGTTACTTACAGTGCCTTGGATGCTGATGGATACTTCCTCAGACCAGTACTGTGGTCATAGTTACTTACAGTGCCTTGGCTACGGGTGGATACTTCCTCAGACCAGTACTTACTGTGGTCACAGTTACTTACCGTGCCTTGGCTACGGGTGGATACTTCCTCAGACCAGTACTGTGGTCATAGTTACTTACCGTGCCTTTGCTACGGGTGGATACTTCCTCAGGCCAGTACTGTGGTCATAGTTACTTACAGTGCCTTGGCTACGGGTGGATACTTCCTCAGACCAGTACTTACTGTGGTCACAGTTACTTACAGTGCCTTGGATGCTGATGGATACTTCCTCAGACCAGTACTTCTAATCTTTTATCCTAATAACTCCACTTTTGTTGTTGTGACTTAGTAGCCCACCTTCCGATACTGTGCCCCAGAAATCCCACTTCTCAGGTTCAACAAAATAACTCACCTTTAAGTTGTAACTCTAAACATTGTTATCCAGTAATTTAGTTTTTCTAGTGTTGTCATCAAGTAACCTCACCTCCAAATAAAACCTAATATGTAGTATCCCTGGCACCATTCATGCCATGAAATTAGCTCTACATCTAGACAGTTACCAGTTAGTTTTAAAATATCATGTATGTAAACTGCATGTATTTAATTATAATTACTAACAAACTGATTGCATATTGTTATACAATTTGTCTGAAGATTGCTGACTCCACTGTGATGCTGAGCTTAACTCCAGGAGAGAAGGAGAGATTTGAGAATCAGCTTTCCCATATGAGCAAAAAGGACCAGGAAGAATTCTTGATACATCAGCAGAACATCATCCGTCGCACCCAGCAAGTGCAGCAGAAACAGCTGGAGCAGCAAAAGAAGCTAATTCAGCAGCAGCAGCTTCACCAGGTCCAACAACAGCAACATTGCCAACAACAACCTGAAGAGTTTCAGCAATTGGAACAAGGAGAGCAGCCAAGACTAACTCCAAAGTTGCAATTGCAACATTTACAACTACAGCAGCAATCACAGCAAATGCAGCATCAGTCACAACCCCCACTGCAGCAGCAGCAGACAACACATCCTCCCGTCGTCAGTGCAAGTGCCCACATCACTAGATCAGAACAGACATCATCATCATCAGTATCACAAACAGGGCAAGCTGCTAAAGGATTCCCTACTACAGTACAAGTAGGTTTACTTTTGTTGTTGTTGTTGTCTTTAATACGCTTGCTTCCATCCACCAGCATCTAAAAGCCTATTGGAATTATGCTAGGATTTGATTTTTCTTTCTTTCTTTTCTCCCTGACAGTGGTTTTTCAGATAAGAAGGCCACTGGCCTGAATAAAGTTTTTGGTGCGACACATGTCCTCTGCTAATCTCTACAGCTTAGTTTCAAGAAGAATTGCCGACAGCCCAGACCTAAAGTCTCCCTGCTACATGCTACATGACTGTGGCACATGTTCGGCATTCGGTAGTACCTGTCCACATGGATATGAACAGTCACTGATAGTTTAAGAACTGGATGTGGTGTCAGGTCATAACTCATGTGCTATAAATACTCCAGTGTCAGTAGATTTATCGGTTTGACAATTTGCCAGATCCGTATCAGTAATAGCCTACACTTGATAATGTCCAACTTCCAGGAGTAAACGAATCAGATACACATGGAACCTCATATTTGCTGCCTTTTCACATGAATACGAGACACTGGATCAGTTACCAGACTACTTGGCTGAACAGATGTCAAGGACCTACTTGTCTAGGGTCTAGATCTATGGCTGCGCTGCAGGCCAGCGACAGAAAAATCTGCTAAAGGAACACACCAACCCAAACGCCCATTGAACACACACACACAATCTTTAATATCAATGAGCACGAACTTATACAGTTTAACCTCAGGTGGGGTAGAGCTCCTTTTATTTTGAAATCAGGCCGCTCTAGTTTTAAAATCATTAGACGCGCCTTTACACGTTTCATTAAATAAGCTCTGAGCTCCTACCACATTCCTGACAGCGCTGTCTTAAACTGTTATCTCCTGATGCCAAGTTTTCTGTGGCACATGCCGAGTGAGGGCTAAAAGTGTATCGGCAGATGCTGTCGCCACAAACAATGCATAACCTTGTTTCCCATAACGAGGTATCACTACTGAAAGGTGTTTAACTGCTTTCGTAGATCTGCTAAATGAAATCTAAGTGAAGCAATTCCTATTTACATCGTGAAGTACTAACCACACTTAGTCAAACACCGGACTGTACCAATCACAGCTAACATCTAACACACGCCTTATTTTTACCAGTCATTACAATTTGTCAGTGAACTATTATAATCTAACCGTCTGCTCAAACAATGTCCAGGTCACACTGATGTCCTGGCAAGAATCCCCCGATCTGCCGTTTGCACAGTTGCACAGTCGTTTTGTTGAACTTTCGGGGTTCAGCGTTGAGTCAACATTTCATGAGTCCCCTGACACGTGGCAAGTCTAGTTCAGCAAACACAGATTTATCCCTGTTTCAGCTTATCTGCCCTAACCCTGAGTTTAGTTAGGGGTCACTATACACCGACCTGCTGATTCGTCATCATCACACTGTAATGTCCCATAACCGGGACGACCCCTGACAACAGACTTAACTTTCTTGTTGTTCCAACTGTATAATTATTTTTTACATTGCATGTTCCTTGAGATAATGTTACATTAACACTTGGCTGTCTATACTTTGTCTACATAAACACTTGGCTGTCTGTACTTTATCTACACAAAAACTTGGCTGTCTGTACTTTGTCTACATAATCACTTTGCTGTCTGTACTTTGTCTACATAAACACTTGGCTGTCTGTACTTTGTCTACATAAACACTTGGCTGTCTGTACTTTGTCTTCATAAACACTTGGCTGTCTATACTTTGCCTACATAAACACTTGGTTGTTTATACTTTGTCTACATAAACACTTGGCTTTCTATACTTTGAGTAAATTATCATCACTCTTTGTGTCCTTATTTTCCCCTTACCCTAGAGACATGTTTCAGTATTTGTGTTTCAAATTAAGATCTGGGATGTGTCAACCAAAGATCATAGATAGCACATCTGTGTTGTAACCAAGCATAATACAGATGTGCCCAAAATAAAAAATTGGGTGAAGAAGAAGAAAATTTTTAGAAAATGCAGCTACAGATGGCATGTTTTGAGATCATGTTTAAATTTTAAGCAACAGAATATGCCAGATGAATAGATGAATATATTGTATCTTCATTATTTGAAATTCACAAGGAAATATTGCTTTGAATACTGATTGTTATTGATGGCTGCTGCAATTGCACACTGTTTATACAGTCATATTGACAACTGGCTGAATCAATGTTGGCTTATTTTATAGGAACTCTTGGAGCAGTCAGATGAACCAGATTCACAGCATCCATGTCAGAAGTTTTCTATTTTGAAACCTCTAGAACAGCCATATATTGATCAGACATCAGTGCTAGTGCTAAAGCAGAAACAACAGCAGCAACAACAACATCTTCAGCAGCAACAACATCAGCATCAACATCAGCAGCAGCAACAACAACAGCAGCAACAACAACAGCAGCACCAACAGCAACAGCAGCAGCACCGACAACAACAACATCAACAGCAGCAGCAGCAAGTACATCAGAACCCCCAGCACGGTGCTGTCAATATTCATTCTTTTATTATTCCTCAGCTTGGTCGCTGCCTGTAAGTTTTGGACAATTTTTGTGTGTTTGTTTTTTGTTTGTTGCTTTGTCTTAGTAAACCTTCTTTGATTAAAATGTGTTTGTGTGTGACAGTTTATCTGTCTGTGTGGTCTGTTTTTCTGTTTAAGCTTCTCTCTCTCTCTCTCTCTCTCTCTCTCTCTCTCTCTCTCTCTCTCTCTCTCTCTCTCTCTCTCTCTCTCTCTCTTCTGTGTGTGTGTGTGTTGATGTGCATGTGTGCTCCTGTTTTGGGAAAGGGGGGGGGGGGGGGGGTTCAGGGAATGGAAATCCTGTGAAAATAAAGTTTGTTTATTGCTTGTTTCTATGCCCTCCCTCTGTCTCCTGTCATGTTCTTACTCACACACATGCATACACACAGACAGAGTATTTGACTACCATTTACCATTGATATTGTTTCTCATATTTGTAGTCTAGACCAATAATAACAGTGATGTCAACTCCACAGGGCCGAGCAGCAATTGTTAAGAGATCGAAGCCTAGCCATAAGCCCGGATGTAAATACTCCATTCAAGAACACATCTGATGCAATGAGAAGACTAGTCCGCTACCACACCTTACAAGACCACAAACCAGAGGAAGGCAGCAAGACCATGAAGATTTGTAAGAGAGTTTTCTGTTACTGTCTTTCCCGTTTAAGTTCCAGGACCCCATTGGAAGGGGGGGGGGGTGCCCCCAACAATCCTGCAGTAAAAGGCCACTAATTAGAGGTTTGCTGAAATCAAATGTGCTGGACCCAAAGGCACAGATATCGCAGCCTGCCTGTAAACTACAACACAACATGCCAACTGTCTTTTAGGAGCAACCGCAAAAGAAAATGAAGTCTGTTAATTTCCTCTACTTCTTAAAATTTTAACGGCTGTAAACTCCAGCGGAAAGTCCTGGTTGTTCATCTTACAGATCTGGCTTATTTATATGCAGGCTGCTGGTGTCTGGCCTCTCAAGCAGACACTCTGACTTTGAAGCAATGGTAATGTTAGTTAGCTCTCCACTGTCAGGGGGGGGGGGGCAGAGGATTTATGGATGTTTATGTATTATTCTAATTCATTTTTAAATATTAGAACATTCAGTGCTTTTCTTGTTTAAAAAAATTAATGACATCAGCAACATATTCTTGTAATTCTATGATACTGCCCTAGGAAACTAGAGGAAGAGAAGAAGAAGCATCAGAAATGTGGAGTCTTGGTCAGTTTAATAAGTATCGGAAAGGTAGAACCCCTAGACCACAGAAAAGAAAGATTAAACCCCCTAGACCACAGAAAAGAAAGGTTGAACCACTAGACCACAGAAAAGAAAGGTTGAACCCCTAGACCACAGAAAAGAAAGGTTGAACCCCTAGACCACAGAAAAGAAAGGTTGAACCCCTAGACCACAGAAAAGAAAGGTAGAACCCCTAGACCACAGAAAAGAAAGGTAGGACCCCTAGACCACAGAAAAGAAAGGTAGAACCCCTAGACCACAGAAAAGAAAGATTGAACCCCTAGACCACAGAAAAGAAAGGTTGAACCACTAGACCACAGAAAAGAAAGATTGAACCCCCTAGACCACAGAAAAGAAAGGTAGAACCCCTAGACCACAGAAAAGAAGGGTTGAACCCCTAGACCACAGAAAAGAAAGGTTGAACCCCTAGACCACAGAAAAGAAAGGTAGAACCCCTAGACCACAGAAAAGAAAGGTAGGACCCCTAGACCACAGAAAAGAAAGGTAGAACCCCTAGACCACAGAAAAGAAAGATTGAACCCCTAGACCACAGAAAAGAAAGGTTGAACCACTAGACCACAGAAAAGAAAGATAGAACCCCCTAGACCACAGAAAAGAAAGATTGAACCACTAGACCACAGAAAAGAAAGGTTGAACCACTAGACCACAGAAAAGAAGGGTTGAACCCCTAGACCACAGAAAAGAAAGATTGAACCCCCTAGACCACAGAAAAGAAAGGTTGAACCACTAGACCACAGAAAAGAAAGGTAGAACCCCTAGACCACAGAAAAGAAAGGTTGAACCCCTAGACCACAGAAAAGAAAGGTTGAACCCCTAGACCACAGAAAAGAAAGGTTGAACCACTAGACCACAGAAAAGAAAGGTAGAACCACTAGACCACAGAAAAGAAAGATTGAACCCCCTAGACCACAGAAAAGAAAGATTGAACCACTAGACCACAGAAAAGAAAGGTTGAACCACTAGACCACAGAAAAGAAAGGTTGAACCACTAGACCACAGAAAAGAAGGGTAGAACCCCTAGACCACAGAAAAGAAAGGTAGAACCCCTAGACCACAGAAAAGAAAGATTGAACCACTAGACCACAGAAAAGAAAGGTTGAACCACTAGACCACAGAAAAGAAAGATTGAACCACTAGACCACAGAAAAGAAAGATTGAACCACTAGACCACAGAAAAGAAAGGTTGAACCACTAGACCACAGAAAAGAAAGATTGAACCACTAGACCACAGAAAAGAAAGATTGAACCACTAGACCACAGAAAAGAAAGATTGAACCACTAGACCACAGAAAAGAAAGGTTGAACCACTAGACCACAGAAAAGAAGGGTTGAACCCCTAGACCACAGAAAAGAAAGATTGAACCCCCTAGACCACAGAAAAGAAAGGTTGAACCCCTAGACCACAGAAAAGAAAGGTTGAACCCCTAGACCACAGAAAAGAAAGGTTGAACCACTAGACCACAGAAAAGAAAGGTTGAACCACTAGACCACAGAAAAGAAAGATTGAACCACTAGACCACAGAAAAGAAAGGTAGAACCCCTAGACCACAGAAAAGAAAGATTTAACCCCTAGACCACAGAAAAGAAAGGTAGAACCCCTAGACCACAGAAAAGAAAGGTAGAACCCCTAGACCACAGAAAAGAAAGATTGAACCACTAGACCACAGAAAAGAAAGATTGAACCACTAGACCACAGAAAAGAAAGATTGAACCACTAGACCACAGAAAAGAAAGATTGAACCACTAGACCACAGAAAAGAAAGGTAGAACCACTAGACCACAGAAAAGAAAGGTTGAACCACTAGACCACAGAAAAGAAAGATTGAACCACTAGACCACAGAAAAGAAAGGTTGAACCACTAGACCACAGAAAAGAAAGATTGAACCACTAGACCACAGAAAAGAAAGGTTGAACCCCTAGACCACAGAAAAGAAAGGTAGAACCCCTAGACCACAGAAAAGAAAGGTTGAACCACTAGACCACAGAAAAGAAAGGTTGAACCACTAGACCACAGAAAAGAAAGGTTGAACCACTAGACCACAGAAAAGAAAGATTGAACCCCCTAGACCACAGAAAAGAAAGGTTGAACCACTAGACCACAGAAAAGAAAGATTGAACCCCCTAGACCACAGAAAAGAAAGATTGAACCACTAGACCACAGAAAAGAAAGGTTGAACCACTAGACCACAGAAAAGAAGGGTTGAACCCCTAGACCACAGAAAAGAAAGATTGAACCCCCTAGACCACAGAAAAGAAAGGTTGAACCACTAGACCACAGAAAAGAAGGGTTGAACCCCTAGACCACAGAAAAGAAAGGTTGAACCCCTAGACCACAGAAAAGAAAGGTTGAACCACTAGACCACAGAAAAGAAAGGTTGAACCACTAGACCACAGAAAAGAAAGATTGAACCACTAGACCACAGAAAAGAAAGGTAGAACCCCTAGACCACAGAAAAGAAAGATTTAACCCCTAGACCACAGAAAAGAAAGGTAGAACCCCTAGACCACAGAAAAGAAAGGTAGAACCCCTAGACCACAGAAAAGAAAGATTGAACCACTAGACCACAGAAAAGAAAGATTGAACCACTAGACCACAGAAAAGAAAGATTGAACCACTAGACCACAGAAAAGAAAGATTGAACCACTAGACCACAGAAAAGAAAAGGTAGAACCACTAGACCACAGAAAAGAAAGGTTGAACCACTAGACCACAGAAAAGAAAGATTGAACCACTAGACCACAGAAAAGAAAGGTTGAACCACTAGACCACAGAAAAGAAAGATTGAACCACTAGACCACAGAAAAGAAAGGTTGAACCCCTAGACCACAGAAAAGAAAGGTAGAACCCCTAGACCACAGAAAAGAAAGGTTGAACCACTAGACCACAGAAAAGAAAGGTTGAACCACTAGACCACAGAAAAGAAAGGTTGAACCACTAGACCACAGAAAAGAAAGATTGAACCCCCTAGACCACAGAAAAGAAAGGTTGAACCACTAGACCACAGAAAAGAAAGGTTGAACCACTAGACCACAGAAAAGAAAGGTAGGAGTGAAGTCCTCTGAGTCTTTGATGATGTCACCTCACTAAAAAAGAAAATATTTTTTCCAGACACTAAAGAAGAAACTTAATCACGAAAAGGTTTCTTTCAGTGTTAAGAGTAGTTTTCACTAAATACAGATGGGGTAAAGAATTAACTGATTTCCTTTCCTTTGACTATTTAAAAGAGGTTTTGATCACTTTGCCATTAGAGAGCAGCATAACGTAATAATAACATTGTATGATTTCATGGTAAATCTGCAGTTTAAAAAAAAATGTGTTTTTTACCCCGTAAAATATATACACACATTTGGGGGTAAAAATAATCTTACCTGCCATATCTACATGCTGTGCAGTCACCCCAATTACCAAAGCTTTCAGACTGGCATTGTGAGCACTGTCCAAAAACATCATGTCAACCAAAGCCTGTAAAAGTCAGAAATATAACTTTCTTAGGGACAAGATTATGGTTGATTTTGTTTATTTTATTAGCATTTGTTGTTTATTGACCAATGTTAGTCTTCTTAGAGATACATAATCTAAATTGTGTGGCTGTTTATGACATATTTTCATGATATATGACAGTTGACATAGGGTTTCTCCTTGTCTTCCCTTAGGGGACACCAGATATGCTAAACTGTGTGACTACCTGGTGAAAAAGAAGCGCTGCTACATGCAGAGGTTCCATAAAGCTCGGCTATATCATGACATGGTGAGTCAGCTGTATTTCTTGCATCTTCCAGAAGGTCGTGGGTTCATTTCATGGCAGTGCCGTTCAATTCACAAGTGCAGTTTTCACAGAGAACCCTAGAGGTCGTCACCAGAGCTATAGAGGTCATGCTCTCTGCGAAGCTCTCGGCAGGCAGCTAGCAGTTTTGCAGAGAGAGACAGAGCCATATTGGATAAAACCTGATGCAATGAAGTCGATCTTTTCACCATTACCTGACTTTGCAGGCATAGTTAATAACACTGAACACTTCACAATAGCCTGTTTAGAAAATGTGAATAGAAAGCAATTACACACGTAAGAACTCAGTTCCACTATTCACTTCACTTCCCCCAAAAAACTACACACCTTTGTTCGCCAATGTTTTGCAGCTGACCAGAACAGCCCTTGGCCCATAGGATGTAGAAGGCTGTGAACAAATAGACAACAAATCTGCAGCTGAGTTGAGTTAAAAACTGAGGTCACAGCACTTGGGATATTACCAGTAAAGTTCCATCTGTGGCATACTGCACAGAAACCGAATCCAGAATTATTTGTTACTTAAGCCCTTCTTCAGCAATATTAATGTAACCTAATTCATTTAAAGTTATCAAGATCCTGTCAAGTAACACCAAGAGTTCTCATATTTGCAGCTTGCATCATGAATTTCGACAGTTTTTTGGGGGTTTTTTTTGGGGGGGAGGCCGAAGGGGGCAACCAAAAAATGTATCGAACCCGACGTATCCTGAAAAAAAAAACTTGTATCGAGGTACACTTACTGTCTAAGGTTTCACTGTATACACCTGTTTGAAAAGTGTTTTAAACATTTTTTATTTTATTTAACAAATCTTTGTAGACCATGTTTTTTTCCTGTTTTATTTTATGATATGTAAATGTTTTTTTGTTTTTTTGGGTGAAACTTCTAGTGTCCAAACAAGCAGCCAGAACATATCCAGAATTTAAAGTGTTTTAATGAACAGTTACGGGAACTCATTGACAGTGAGAAGGAAAGGGCTAAACACCAGCCAGGTAATGTTTTTGTAACTATTTCCATAACTGTTGAAGCTGAAAATGTAACGTGTTGTAAATAGTAAAATAAAGGACACACAAATCATTAATGTTGTGGAAAGGGGCGGCTGTCCGTTCTGTTCACATAGAGCCCCTAAAAATCCAAATATTCATGATGTTCATATTGAATACATATAATAGCAACAGTGGTCCTGAAATGCCATGCTGTGATTGTGGAAGAGGTTTTGTAAGCGGTCAGTGCTAGTCATGTTTGCTGTCGCCATAGCTTGGATTCCCATGGCTTCCTGTAGCACAGTATAACACTGTCACCTGGAAGGACAGAAAGGGGCCAACGATTGTGTGTCTTTTTTTTTTTTACCTTTGTTTTAGCGTATTTATTGTCTTTTTTTGTGTGCGGCTTTCAGACTAAATTACTTTTAGAAATGTTTCTATTCATTTGATTTGGGTAATATTGTAATGAACCCACTGCCATTTTACCCTGACAACTGAAAAGGTTGTACAGGCTAAGAAAAGAGTCTAAAGCCAGGTGAAAATAGAAAGCAAGGCAAGTTCAGATAGCATGAATGAGTTTGTTTGCTGACACACTTCCAAGTGATGACACTTTCTTCCACAGATCTTTCCAGTGGTCACAAGTTCCTGTTTCTGTCTTCTCTTAATGCAGCCATTATTAGTGGGCCCTCACCGCTGTCATGCAAATGTGTGTCTGGCCTCTATTCCCACCATACAGTCAGTTGTTACTTTTTGATCATTAATTTTGTAGAGCCACTTTAGGTGGTGCACAGTATACCAGGAGTCGGGTCTGTCATCTGTTGTGCCTTTACTCACTTCATCTTTGTGTGGATTCATTTGCTACTTAGAAATTTATTGAATCTTAATATTGTGGTAGAGTTATTGAAGCTTGATGACAGTCTTAAAGATGCAATACTTTCCTATTTCAGAACAATTTGAACCAATAAAGCCAGCGCTGTCACCCTTCCACCAAAGCAGTTCAATAGCCACAGTCAGAACCAGTATTAAAGATTCACAGCAGATAGAGAATGAGATGATAGACAGCAGTGAAGATTGTAAGCCAGATGCTACCAAGCTAGCTTACTATGGGTACAAAGAGCCATATACAGAAGATAGCAGTGGATCACAGAAAGAAGAATACCCATGTGCCTCTTTAACTACCTCCCCATGTGCCTCTATCGTTACCTCTCCTCACACCTCTATAGTTACCTCCCCACATGCCTCTATATTTACCTCCCCTTACACTTCTATAGTTACCTCCCCATATGCTTCTAAAATCACCTCCCCTCACACCTCTGTAGTTGCCACTCCACCTCGGCAGAAGAGAAAACTACATGAGTCAGGCAGCTCCGGAACACTAAAACTTGTGCTGAAGCGACGGACGACTGACAACTTTATGGTGAAGAAATCACCAGCAGACATGTATGAAGACCTGAAATCAGATGTACATTTAGCGAAGAGTGAGAGTGAATCTGAGTCTGATTCTCAAATTGCTGATGCAGCTCGTACCTATCCACTCATTATCCGCCGAAGAACATTGTCGATGTCTTCGAGACAGACTTCATCCAGTGATATTAGTTCATGTAGTTCTCCAGCAAATAAAACTCAGGATCATTCATCGGTGGGAGAGAATTCAGATGAAGAAATAGATGAAAATAACGATGAGGATGATGAGTCATCAGATGAGGGAGAAGAAATTGAGAAGAGTTCCATTGATGATAAAGAAATTGTAGAACAGTTTATAGGAAGTAAAGAATGCTCAAGTAAAAAATATTGTGTTTCTGGCAGAGACGACCTGCAAAATAATCAGTTAGGTAATGTTGCTTCGTGCAAATTAAGTTCTGATGTATTCATGGAGAATGATGAGATTCTAGACAGTGTTGAAGCTCTTAACCACTATAACATCACCATTGATCAATTCTCTGCTGGTCGAGTAGTTAGACCTTCCAAAGACAGTGGTGCAAGTCTTGATAGTCCTCACAGTGGTAAGAATTCTAGTGCTTCAGTGACATCAGAGGATGTGTTTCATTCCAATTTATCGTCATATCCCCATGTGGACTCGCCTCATGCCAAAGATCATCTGAGCTATAGTGTTTATTCTGATGGCAACAGAACTGGTCATTCAACTGTAAGTTTACAGACTTCTGTGGCTGGTGTTCCAGGGCTGTTTGGGCAAAGCTGTCGGACATCCCCGTGCTCCCGAGATGAAGAGTATATGTCAGAGAGTTCCTTGAGCGGCATTCAGAAAGAGACATCTACGAAAGGGCCTCTGAGCTCTTCTCTCTTTATTACACCTAACAAAAACCTGTTAAAAACTGATGCCATGTTTAACTCCGATGATGACGACGATGATGCTGACGATCAGTTAAGTGGTGATCGACGGATTGGGTCCGCGTTTAAGATTGATAATAAAGACCCTCAGAGTAACATGATCAATGACTCAGTGAGATCTGCCATAAACAGTGTGCTAGATGGCGATGATGATGATGATGATGATGATGATGATGAAGATGATATAGACAACAAAGACTTACAAAACAATTGGGCTTCTTCTGCAAATAGATTGCCTGTATCCTCATCATCTTCATCCATTCATAATTTGTTCCATTCATCACTATCATCCTCGCGTGCACATAGCCATGACGCTGATCTTGATGCAGCTGTACAGAGCATTCTCAATAGTTGAACAAGTGTTCATATGGACAAATTGTGTGGCTTCACTTGTACAACCAGTGTTGGCTTTATTCCTTTGGTTTCTGCATTCAACAACCAAAATAGTTTTATGGCAATAATTTTGTTTTGTTTTTGCCCTCACTTGTTGACAAACATTACTGCTTGTTTTATGTTCACTGCATTGTTTTGTTGAGTACAAATTAGTGTTTTTTTTATCTTCATTTATTACCCAACTCAAAATGATGGTATAGATTTCAGCACACTGGCTTTAGTGACCATTGAACCAGGTTCCATGTTCATTTCAGGAAATATATTTTTCTGTTTCACATGGCTCTGGGGTTGTCCCTAAAACATGAGTGCAGGAAAGTTATTTTTTTTCTTCCCAGTTGTACTTCATTGTTTATGTAAATAGCAGAGTGATAATTTAATTTATGAAATAAGGAGCAGCATCTGCCTGTTGATTGATTATAACTATTGGGTTAACTAATTGACTGTGACAATCTTAGGACCATTAGATGTTTATTATAACACTGTCAGGCCCAATAACTGACATGGATTTGCTTCTTCTTCTTCTTCTATTTAGCCCTTGTTCTGCCCTTTAGCATCAGATTTTAAAGAGGCATTAAATACTTCTGATCACTGACTATATCAGTGCTTGATCCAGTGCTGAAATTGACTATAAACTGCTAATATTAATGAAGGCTAATGCTGATTTTCATCAGTTCCTGAGAAAATATTAAATAAGATTATTCTTGGAAGATGAACTCCTTCAGTCCCAGGGAAGGCATCACTCGGTCATAGGTTCCTACCTAAAAGCCCAGTGAACACAATATGTGGGCTGTTTATACATCTGTCTTTACTACCCCTTGGGCCTCTGATGCTAAACCTTTGCCCCGGGACTTAGAGAGTTAAGAGATGCCATTGACAAGCAGCTAAAGGATGAACAGGAAGGTTGTTTTGACCAGACAGTACCTGTATTGACCACAGATCATGCATCATCTAAGCGTCAATAACCGTTCTGCTCTGGCCATTTTATATTTGTAGATCATAAAAAGTCTTTGTGACAGCATTGATAGAAAATCCTTTTGAAAAAAAATGCTGAGGAAAACATTACCTTAATGAAGGCCATTTATAAAGACTTGAAATGTCCACTTTTTCAATAGGGAATATTTACAGATCAATGAGATGATAACAGGAATGGTACAGGATGCCTCTTGTCACCTTTATTTATCATCGTCATGTAGCAGGTCCTTTGCAGAGCGTTGCTGTCATCACAGTCTGCCTAAAAGAAACTCAGTCTCTCGCCAGTTCTCCCGCCTCATGTACTTTCATATTCAAAGAGTCACTTTTATCCTGTGCTCATCTTCGTGTCGGTCGACCCCTGCCCCTCCTTGCTGGTACCATGCCTTCCGCTATTATTTTTTTCCAATCTGCCATGGGGCTTGATATGACCAAAATACTTTAGCTTCCGAGACAAGATGCTATTTAATAGCCAATCTTCTTTGATGTGTCAGATCTTTTAAAATGTCAGTATTTCTTCTCTTATTTGTCCATATTATTCTGAGAATCTTTCTATAGCATATCAGCTCAAAAGCTCCTATTCTCTTTCTTACAGACTGTGATAGGTAAGTGGGTAAGGTGTACCCCCACCAGGACATCACACAAGCGATAAACACTGTGACACAAAGTGCCACCATGCAGATGAGGATCACCCGTGGAGAGGTCCCGTATTTAGGGCCCCCGGCAAAAGCCAAGGTGGGGCTTCTAAGTAACTAAAAAATTGCATCCCACATGGGGACGACAGTAGAAGTGATAAGGACTGGGAGATAGTCCACAATTCACATCCGTATGTCAATATATTTGTACCTACAGTGGGACCCTGGACCCCAGGCAGTAAGACATAAAACATTCAACTAACTTTCAATCATTACTGCTGGATTCGCATTAACTGGTGTTTGCACAGAATTGGACAAAAAGGAGGGTCATTGTTATGGAAGAATGAGTGATGTGAAGCTTAAGGAGAGAGCTAAATAAATACTAGTGAATAAAGAGGTAGGAAAAGGCACTGTATAGGACACTCATGGAGAAAACAAGATGATTCTACTAGAATGTCTGTGCACTGGAACCCACAAAGTAAAAGAGGTCAAGGGAGGCATAAAAAAACATTGAAAAGAGAATTGGATAGAATTTTAATGTGAAGATGAATGAATCAATCAAGAATTGACATCATTGCACTGAAGATCAGGACTATTCAGCTAAGTTTACCTAGGGGCCAAATTTGTGAAAGTAGGGATCGTCACAGGCCAGAGGCTTGCACCTTAGCATATACTGATCAGCAATACAGTGCAGTTGGCAATTGTCCATGAGCCACTTCTTAGGCCTCCACGGGCCAAATCTGGCCACCGGGCCACCAGTTGAATAGTCCTGATCCAGATATTACCACACATGCTCTATAGCCTTTGTTAGTAGCCAGTGAAAAGTTCCCATATTACTGGTGCCATTTGCAACTTGTTTTTTTTTTTCTTCTTCTTTTTTTTTTCTTTGCGGGTAGACAATTGTCCTGACCCTCTGCTGCACAGTTTATTTGATCCCAGAGTGCCTTCAGCGTGTCTGATTTATTGTAAAGTAGCTCATTACCCAGAGGAATGGCATAAGCTAATCTGTCAGCCTTCTTATTACCATATACACGTGTATGTCCTAGGCAAAAAGTCCATGACCTACTTATCTGCATCTGCCACTGTAAGCACAAGACACCAGTTTGTTTTCCAAAGCATGCTCTGTGAGTCATTTACAATTACAGCATGTCAGGTTGTACTACCCAACTATACAAAAACTGTCATTACTGCTTCCATCTCCGTTCGCATGCTATCAGGTTGTACTACCCAACTATAAAGAAACTGTCATTACTGCTTCCATCTCCGTTCGCATGCTATCAGGTTGTACTACCCAATACCCAACTATACAAAAACTGTCATTACTGCTTCCATCTCCGTTCACATGCTATCAGGTTGTACTACCCAACTATACAAAAACTGTCATTACTGCTTCCATCTCCGTTCGCATGCTATCAGGTTGTACTACCCAACTATACAAAAACTGTCATTACTGCTTCCATCTCCGTTTGCATGCTATCAGGTTGTACTACCCAACTATAAAGAAACTGTCATTACTGCTTCCATCTCCGTTCGCATGCTATCAGGTTGTACTACCCAACTATACAAAAACTGTCATTACTGCTTCCATCTCCATTTGCATGCTATCAGGTTGTACTACCCAACTATACAAAAACTCATTACTGCTTCCATCTCCGTTCGCATGCTATCAGGTTGTACTACCCAACTATACAAAAACTGTCATTACTGCTTCCATCTCCGTTCGCATGCTATCAGGTTGTACTACCCAACTATACAAAAACTGTCATTACTGCTTCCATCTCCGTTCGCATGCTATCAGGTTGTAGTACCCAACTATACAAAAACTGTCATTACTGCTTCCATCTCCGTTCGCATGCTATCAGGTTGTACTACCCAACTATACAAAAACTGTCATTACTGCTTCCATCTCCGTTCGCATGCTATCAGGTTGTACTACCCAACTATACAAAAACTGTCATTACTGCTTCCATCTCCGTTCGCATGCTATCAGGTTGTACTACCCAACTATACAAAAACTGTCATTACTGCTTCCATCTCCGTTCGCATGCTATCAGGTTGTACTACCCAACTATACAAAAACTGTCATTACTGCTTCCATCTCCGTTCGCATGCTATCAGGTTGTACTACCCAACTATACAAAAACTGTCATTACTGCTTCCATCTCCGTTCGCATGCTATCAGGTTGTACTACCCAACTATACAAAAACTGTCATTACTGCTTCCATCTCCGTTCGCATGCTATCAGGTTGTACTACCCAACTATACAAAAACTGTCATTACTGCTTCCATCTCCGTTCGCATGCTATCAGGTTGTACTACCCAACTATACAAAAACTGTCATTACTGCTTCCATCTCCGTTCGCATGCTATCAGGTTGTACTACCCAACTATACAAAAACTGTCATTACTGCTTCCATCTCCGTTCGCATGCTATCAGGTTGTACTACCCAACTATACAAAAACTGTCATTACTGCTTCCATCTCCGTTCGCATGCTATCAGGTTGTACTACCCAACTATACAAAAACTGTCATTACTGCTTCCATCTCCGTTCGCATGCTATCAGGTTGTACTACCCAACTATACAAAAACTGTCATTACTGCTTCCATCTCCGTTCGCATGCTATCAGGTTGTACTACCCAACTATACATAAACTGTCATTACTGCTTCCATCTCCGTTTGCATGCTAGATGTCGCTATGTTGTACACAGGGCTTTCTATGAACTGGGTACAGGCCTATTCTCCATGAGGAGAAAAGGGAAGAAGGAGAAGACACATTTATTCATGTAAATGGTTACATTGGCTAGGCATGATCGTTTATCAGCTGTTGCAAAGATGCCTCATTATCACCCATTCCTAACACCCTCTTTCCAGTCTAACCATCGCTCTCAAAGTTTCACTCTTTCCATGCCAGATGACAGTTAAATTAGTTTAAGGCAATGCATGATGCATCCCCTGGGATCCAAAGTGTTGAATCCGAGAATATCAACTTCATGGCACTGAATTGTGCACACAGGCTAGACACATGCAAAGAAGCATTACACCCAGCACAAACCATAGTTCCTGTGATGTTCTCCGTAACAGTGTGCATTTATGAACCAGAAGATCTAGTTCTTGAAAATCACATCACCTTCAGAGCATGAAGGTAAATGGCTTAGGCTGCATTCTTGAGTAGTACATGGCCCATAGATGCTGTGCTGTAGCGGCTTGATGCTCGCCTGCATAACCAAATGTCATCGGTTCAAATCTGCATGGCGCTGAATTGTTTTTTTTTTTCAAACATGACCTTGGTTTCCTTAAATGGGTACTAGATGTAGTCCTGGGAAGTAAAGGCAGCTAGGATGATGTTGATTACAT